AGAGTACATGCATCATCATTGTGAATTATAGGTAGCCATGGAAAGAGAGCATGTATGTCATCTCAGATGTACTAATCCAATCTGGTAGGTCACTGCTCCCCTCAGTCCATGGTGATTTGAACCGGCTGACTCAATAGATCGCTTTTCCTCTGGTTGATCTGGTAACCACTGATCGTCTCACATATGAGGACAAAGGAACTGCACTGGAGCCCAACAAAGCTCCTGAAGAAGACTTCCTTGGATTGATGACACAAGTGGCCTGCAATACTGTCTCTCAGCCACTGGAACTCACACACAAGCTCCTGAAAAAGGATTCCTTGGATTGATGGCACAGGTGGCCTGCAATACTGTCTCTCAGCCACTGGAACTCACACACAAGCTCCTGAAAAAGGATTCCTTGGATTGATGGCACAGGTGGCCTGCAATACTGTCTCTCAGCCACTGGAACTCACACACATGTTAAAGTTCTGGCAACAATAGGTAGGGTTTTTGGGTAGGTTTGGTGATAGGGATGTTATTGGTTGGTGATTGTTGGTTTAACTGGGATTTGTCTGCCTGACTTCTAAGGAGATATCATCCTGTCAGGAAAGAACTCAGAATTAGTAATCATCTTAAGATTCGCACATCAGCTCAACTTATCTCCCGCTACCCTTCTTAGTCACTCAGAGTATACTCTCAAGAACAGGAGACCATGTCCCCTTTTATTTATCTGTCTGTAAGTCAGTAACCAGATAGAAGACAGGGTACATAGAGGAGATAGATAGACACTACTACACATAGATCATCCTCTCTCCACCTTCCCATCTGCACCCGCAGACATACATTATATCCCGTTCGTACATGTATATATTTCATATCTCCACAATCTGCCTACTACACACCCAATGTTGTCGTGCTAAAATTAACCTTTGACTCAGAGCGCCGAGCTCTGACGTCACAGCATCTAGCCGACTGAAGGATGACCCAGTTTACATATGTCTGCTAGTCGACACAACTCCGTTGTCTGGTTAGAGAATAATTACCTTGCTGGGTTTAATATCTTTACAATGGTGTGTGTCATGTACGGCACAAACTATTTAGCCTGCGAAGGGAAAGGTTTGATTTAGGGCCTGGAGTGTCTAGTTATCAAGAACGGCCCAGTTCTGTGCGGTCACACAGCTGAATCTTCCATCCCTGCAGCAGTGGCCAACTTTAAGGAGACACATATCATGGTACTCGTAAACTATAATCAACTTACCCAAGCTTAAGAATCCTTCAAAGATTAAACTGGTATTTTGAAAGCGCCAAAGTTTAATTAGAGAATTAAAACGTCTCCCGACACCTTAGAGGTCTGGCAAAAGAATGCCTGCCCCAGAGTCCGCTTGGCATCTCTAGAAAAGAAGTCATGTATTCGTGCCGAAGGAGTAAAAAGGCTTACAGGAATTTCTGAATAATTTTCAAGAAATACTTATCCCACAGTTGCAAGTTTGAAAATGTAGACTTCTCAAAACAACTAGCGGGTATAGAAATGTTTATTTCACCAGATAGAGGTATATATTATTATGAGGGACTATATACCCCCCCCCCCCCGGACGTGTTTAAATTTGAAATGTGACGTGCCCGCTAGGGATGTCAGCGTCACGACTAGTCCACAGTGTAGGGTTGGCTGTTCACTCCACAACAATCATCAGCGAAGTCCAGATCATCAAATGTATCTCTTAGCTTTCCCTCATGAAGAACTCGACATTTATTGTCTTTATATGTTGCTTTTACTGAGTTAAAAATTTTCTGTGGGATTCCATATTGCCTCATTAATTCCCTCAACGTGTAGCAACTGATAACCTTTAACAAGTTTTGTGTAAGTTGACCATTCTTCTTTCGCTACCAGGAGAGTGTTCATGTTTGGGCAACACTGCTTATTACTGAAGCTCTTTTTGTCTTTTAAATGTTGTTATTCAGTATCGTCTGCTGAATCACGTGTGTGTACAAAGGAATATGACGTGTTCTATGGAAACAAAAAGAGGATGAGGGTTTACAAAAAGTAATGGCGTGATTCACGACAACAAAAATAAAACACACGAGCCCTTGAGATACCAGAACTCCCTCTTTAGACACTCAGTGTACGCTGTTGTGTCTGTTGGCGTCCACTCCGCCCATGTCCCAGACATACTGATCCCATTTTTCGCTCCGTGTCCTCCGCGCCCGCGCGTTAGTGATATATAGGCTAGTAGCTGTCCTAGTCATCGTCTTCAAATGAAGTTTTTTTCGCCAGGGACACAGATGAGTATCATTTATTTTGTACATTAGAGTTCAATGTAGTCACTTCATAGTTAGAGCTTATTTGTGTATGTGTACTGTGTTGTCCTTTATGTGCTGATGAAGGCTAATCGCCGCAACGTCCTTTGTTTGTTTATTGTGATCGATTTTGTAAAGCTAACATAAACTATTTGTTCTTTTTTACCAATTTTTTCTCTTCTGTATAATTTTCTATCCCTTTAAAAGCTTAGAAACAATGTAGTATTTCAAGCCACGCCCTATGAATTCTTCTTCGCGTTCACTGGTTGTAAACTCCGACGAGATGATTTTCCAACCATGGAAAACAGAATACAAATTTCCAGAGTACGTGCTTACTTTACAGTCAAGGCGCACACAAAACATCCATTACATTGTCAAATCAAGAAGATAAAAGGCAGCAGGTTAAAAGAGGCAAATCGGGGATAGGTCAAGCCGAGCACATTATTTTACAGGTTTGTTTACTTGAGGACATAGAACCCGACGAGGAGTGGGTGCAAGTGCCTTCAGAGTGCTGTACATCTTTTTCTGTTTGCATCCAACTAGACGAAAAATGCAGACAACAGAGTCCGGCTGCTGTGGAAGCAGAAGTTCAAGCCCTGATTTTCGAGAATTTTCTAGAGGGTGATGCTGTCATTAACACAGATAGTTCTGTAATTCGCCATGTTAGAAGCTCGTGGGCTTTCACGGCTCAGTTTGGAGGGAGGAGTTGTGAAGGAAAACTCTGGAGCTTTTCTACAAGTAATTTCACTATGGAAGTCATGGCTGTGCCTAAAGAAGTAACATGGCTAGAGATGCAGACTTTCCCTAGGGCATGTTTTTTCAGTGACTCGAAGAGTATGCTGAGGAATATAGAGAAGGGCTGGGTCCGAAGGCAGTGGTTGGTGGCTCTACAGCATTCACTGCTGACAAGGATTAGTTTCATTTTCGTGCCATGACATGTTGGGGTACAAGGAAATGAGCAAGCTGAGAGATTTGCAGGTAAGCCTACTGTGAAAGCCTGACAAGCCATGGACCAGGCTGACATACTGAATGATCTAAGAGAGTTAAGACGTGTGCGTGAACCAATCGAGAACTGTAAATCTGCAGCCATGGTCAGACTGCAAGAACAACAAGTTAAACGGGGTGTCGCCAAACAAGAACACTACTCGGGTAGCCAAACAAGAAGAATAAACCAAGACAACTTGTGTCATTAGCCGCTACACGCTGCGGGATTTACTGAGGAGGGCATCCGAGCACTTAAGGACTGAGTGGTTCGACGTGAAATTAGGATAATCTGTCGACTAACTAACTAAACTCTGACCAAAGGTTTTGGTTGTTTGCCCACTTCTGGACTTTAGCCTTGTTCCAGAATCAGAGTGTGTCGTGCACATTCGTTTAACAGATCTGACTAAATTATTTGCATATTGTTGTTTCCTTGCCACGCAGGCATATGCACTCCGACTTAAAAGGAGGGCTTCCCACTCCCAATTAGTCGACTCTTACGACATGCGGTGGGTCTATTCTTGTTTTCCCTGCAGTGGGCTCCGGAACCAGCCGCACGAGGACATGTCCCATGTATAACAAACTGCTTTTCGGTTCAACGATATCATATATACAGAAATGTCTCATGTATAACATGTTTTTTTTTTTTTTGGTTGTTTTTTTTTTTTTTTTGTTTTTTTTTTTTGTTTGTTTAACTATATCATATATCTAGAAATGTCCCATGTTTTTATAGTTCAACTACATAATATATTTAGACATTTTCCATGTATAACTGTTTTTTAGTTCAACGATATCATATATCCAGAAATGTCCCATGGATAACTCTCTTATTCGGTTCACCGATATCATATATCCAAAAATGCCCCTCCTAAAAGGATAGGGGTTTGTTTCATGGTAACTATAAAGTATCGGAATATGTGGCTTAGGCGTTGCGAACGCGCTTCGTAATGCCGGGGTGCTGGGTTCGATCCCAGGTGCGGGCATTGCGCTGGTTTTACAGTGGTATCGAGAAGCCGACCGCCCAGGAAGCAACGGCAAACTACTGGACTTAAATTTGTCTCGAAAAACCACAACAACAAAAAAATGCTGGAGATGGTTCTGCGACGTGATGTAAAGGATACACAACGAACTAAAACTATAAGGTGCCCCAGCATAATTATTGTGTTCGGTTGAACGGGATATCTTAGATTTGTTTCTTCTGGATTAGCATCCGAGAAGTGGCTCTTTGAGGACACGAGTCAGACTTTCAAGGTGCATGAAAATAAAATTAGATTTATAAATAAATAGTTTAGTTACCATGCAATTTAGATTTCCAAATTATAACCAGGCGTTTTAAAGCCGTTGATGCCTTTCCATAACGTATCATAATTTCTTCCTTTGTTTGATGGACTATGAAAATTACTATCTAAACAGGTAAGTTGATCCACGGCCTTCTCTATTTATATATACAGCCGGACCTAGTTGGTCTAGGACAAGTGTTTTTTGTTTCTTTAGTTTTTCAGCTACTTTATCTCCTACCAGTGCCCTAATATATTTTTCTGTTTATAGCTTATTTGTAGTCCAACTTTCAATGCTATAATTGCTAAATTATGTTTTATTTTTCCTTTACAAGTGCATTATTGTGTTCACTTAGTAACAAAACCATCATCTGGAAAATCGAGAACTCCCAACTATGCATCCTCAAAAACTAACTCGATGCAGGTGGTTCACAATATAACATTACCGTAACAATAGACATTGATAAAATGGCCGCGCCCATTTGTTCACACACTTTGAAAGTCGTCTGTTGTTGCCGTTCTCTGCCGAATCCAGTCTTAAATATTTACAAATTTAGTTTTTGCAAGTTGCGAACAATAAGCCGTTATTATGCCAGCACTAGCATTCGTAATGTACGAGTGAGATTTGCCCCAAGTCCAACAGGCCACCTTCATCTAGGAGGTCTTCGTACTGCTCTGTACAACTTTCTGTATGCCAGATCAACAAAAGATGGTCGGTTTATCTTGAGAATTGAAGATACAGATCAGGTAAATTACTCATATCCGCCCCTCTCCATCCCCTCTTTGTGTGTGTGTGTGGGGGGGGAGGGGGTTACCCACTGCCCTCAAACAAAAATGTCGTAAGAGTCGACTAAATTAGGGGTGTAGGGATGTTTTTGTTGTTCACACTATCACACTAGAGTCACATCAGATGGATGTATAAACGTGAACGTGAGGAAGACTAAAATCCCCATCCAGTGGACAGTGTTTGTTGCGTGAATTATTGTGACATGATGCCCAAGTGATAATCATGAGTGCCTACACCTGTATGATCTGTGGCCAGTGCTGTTGAGTTACATACAAACTCATATCACCAGCAGTTGAGACATTCCCCTAAGCGCTCCACACCCATCTCCAGAATAAACCCTCAGAGATGAACAACATTGATGGAAGAGGCCAGAGGTGCGGAACTAGATTCCATCCATGATATTGAAACTATTGCACAGGATGGAGTAGAATGGAAGAATAAGCTGCAAACAATATGTAAAATATAAGTTGTCTTAAAGACTGTTAAACTATATAGTACATAGTATAACTTTTAGATGAAGATGGTGCAACAAGGTGTCGAAAGTTACAAAATAACCAGCTGTCCATTGTGGGTGGGTTTGTTAACATCATATTCCTGCCCCAGCCAGTTCTTTTTGTTAATCTATGCTGATCCGTTAATAAATTGCTGTGAAGTGATATACTGTCCGCATGTGGGTTCCGGGGTTCTGGTTTTGTAGGGGGAGGGGGGGGGGGCGAGAAGGACAAACAACTGACCCACTCCCCCCCCCCCCCCCTTTCCACAATAGAAAGTTATTTGTATATTCTTTTACAGGATGTTACAGAACCAACCCTAGCAATTTTTGACTGTTTTTGATTTCACAAGGCATTGTAACTTTCCATAGTTTGTCATTGCTCCCTGAACAGTCAGCTCTCTACACCACTTTTGAAACCAATGCAGGGTGCTCTACCACCAAATTACCGGCAGCTGGGATCGAACCAGATGCCCCACAATTACGAATTGCATTCACAGTGCCTAAACTACAGACGCCAAACCCCCCAACATGCATGTAAAAAAAAAAACGGGAACTATTTAGGGTGTTTGCTGAAATCAGATGTGTTTGATTAAAAGACACAGTTATCACTCATCAACATCATCCCGTAACACTACGTTTCATTGGGTCACCAGTTTCTGTTGACTGTCTAATCAGCTCTCTCCACCTTTGGCGGTCAGTTACGATGGACTTTATAGTTGCATGCCTGAGACCTGTCCAGTCAGTCAGGTTCTGTAACCAGGTCTTTCTTTGTCTGCCTCTTCTCCTCTTTCCCTCTAATGAGCCCTGCGGTATTGTTTTTGAGAGGCCGTAAGATCTTATTCATGTCCATACCATTGCATTTTTTGCCTCTTCACTGTAGTTAAAAGAGGTTCATAGTTGCCAGTTATCACTGCCTAGCTGTAAACTACCACACAACTTGCCAACTGCTGTGTTAAGGGAGAAGACTGAGGAAGAAATTACTGTGAAAGAAAGTATCAACAAATATAAATGTCTACTGAGTAACCAATGATCATATGGTGATTTGCCTGATAGTGAATAAATAAATACATTTGCCACTTTCTTGTAAACTCGTGAAATGGGTCTGCATCTGGCTGACAAGTTCAGACAACCTCTTTTGGATGTCCAGTACAGTGCCCTAAAAACAGTACTGTTGTACTTCATTTCTCGGGATCACCAAGGTGTCCACGACATGGAGGTGACAGCCATTAAATATAGCCACTCCAGCATAGTCTGCAAGTCTCTTGAGAATTGCTTCATTTTCACCCTGGGGACCCATACATCTAGGGCAATGAACTGTCGAATGAACTATAAACACAGTTTCATCTAAAATTCTCGAGTTACGGCCTTTGCCATTCCCAGACTATTTATCCTTGGGGTCACACACGTCTCTTCATCCCACTGTCAAGGCATCAATGTTGCTGCTTTGAGATACATCAGTCAAGTGATTTTTGTGTATTTGTGAGGTTTTGTTTGATTTATGTATGTGCTGATGAAGGCTGTGTACCCGCAGCGTTCACTTTTCGTTTGTGTTTGTTGCATTGTGAAGCTCGCTGATCTACTTTTCGTTCAGTTTTGTATCTTTCCATGATACTTTCTTGTAGACTCGAGCTGTTCCTGGGGCTGTAGACAAGCTGCAAGAGGCACTGAACTGGGCAGGAATAATACCAGATGAAGGTATTCTGTTGTAGTGTAAAGCTTCTTCTTCTTCTTCTTCTTTTTGTTCTTCTTTTTCTTCTTCTTCTTCTTCTTCTTCTTCTTCTTCTTCTTCTTCTTCCTCTTCTTCCTCTTCTTCTTCTTCTTCTTCTTCTTAATGTTCACCTGCCGTTAACTGCACAAACAACTAGAACCTTCCAACAGAATTTACAGCCAGTAAATGTGAAGAAGGAAAAGAGGAAAAAGATTTAATTTTGTCAAGTGAAATATCGACCGTAAGATATTCCCCAGCTCTTACTGCCTCTAGGAAGGTCTTCATATATTCTCATCCATGGGCAGCTTTCCATCTTTTCAGATGGTAATGTTATATTGTGCTATAGTATAGACCTGTAAATCACAGACAATGGTGAGTGTGACTAACAAGACCTACTCGCCACGAATATAGTTCTTTCTCTTCGCAGCAACGAGCCGAGGCAGTTGTATAGAAACTGTGTGTTGCAAAGGAATATAGTTCTTTCTCTTTTGGCCTGCATTGTTTACTCCACAGGAAAGTTATTACAGATACATTTGGAACAAAGCATGCTACAGAAGCTGCCGGATCAGAAAAGCAGTTCTCTATATGTACGCTTGATGGAGCTTTCCTTCTAGATCAGCTGCCGGCCAAGGCTAAGGGCCTGGTCTGCCTTGCCTCAACATGAAGTTTTCAGGTTGTCACATCTTCTGATCCATGACATGAAAACTATTTTAAGTACATTTTGTAATACATTGAGGAGTATCCAAGGTATCTGTATGACTATGCAAAATATGTTGCATGGAAACTTTTTAAGAACTCTGGTACCCTGAAGCGTCAGTTATAATCCTCATTTAGAATGCTAAGGGAGTTCGAAATAAAAATTACCGTATTCAACAAAAAGGGTGATAGTATGCATCCCAGCCTAACTCCTGTGTTCCCATAAAACTTTCGTTTGTATGATTGTGCAAACTACTTTGATTGAGACTAGAATTACATCTGGAAAGGCAAACCCGGGCATCAAATGCCTGCAGAAGTTGAATGTGTTGGCCAAAAGGCAAATCTTTCCCAGACACGTCAGATCATGGGGATGATTCTGCATCAAAAGAGGCAAAGATATCTTTATCAATTGCAGGCTCAGACATGGTATCATCAAAATATCCATGCTCTGACTGAATACTGTCACTATAACTATCAGTATCAGAAACTGCTGCACTAATGCTTGCTGTTGACTGTGTAACTGTCAGTCGAGTCTTAGACTTGATTTTGATGCGATATGCCTTCGTTTTGCTGTCGATGATGTTTTTAATGGCACTTCTTCAGATGTATCAAGTTAGAGTCATCAAACCTTCTGAAGAAAATTCCAATCAAGAAAATCACACACAGCAACAGAAAAATGACAAATATCACCACTACAACAGTTCCGAGAATTTGATGCAATTTTTGTGTGTGTGTCGACAGTCTGAAAACTCACAATGAAAATGCATCAAAACTTTACTATAAGCACTATGGGGTTGTTTCCATTGAAGAAATATAGAGAAAATGGGCAAAAGGCTTCTGCTAAATCCATTGCAAAAGTGACAATTTTAACATGAAAGCGAGCATATAAAGTTACGATCACAAGGGTTGTGATCATGGTAGCCAGGCATAACATCCCCTGATCGCAAAAGGTGCGAACGTGGTAGTCAGTGAGTTAGCTAAAGTTTTTCCAAGACAAATCCACATGTCTGGCTGAAGCTTTAAGACACGTTTTCAGTTTTACATAAATACTTATTATATTTTGTACTTTTTGAATTCAAAATGTTTCACTGAGTCTTTCTTGTATTATTCTTGAGACATGTATTTGTTTATCTTCTTGTGTTCAGGACCTGGTATTGGAGGACAGTTTGGTCCTTATATTCAAGTAAGTTCATATATTTCATTTAACAGTAAAGCCTCATTAAGGTGAAAACTCAGTTAAGTCAACAACAACAAAATAACCTTCTGGGCTAGATCTTTATTTTATAGACCTGTCAGCACTTGGCAGCTGATGTGATCAGCATCACGTCGGCTGACTTTACTTCCCAGGACTTTACATAGTACCGATTAGAGGCTAAGTTGACTGGCAGCAAATGGTCATTTAAAACCCCCTAAAAAGTCATGCTCTGTCAGGGCCTGAAGCCATGACCATCCGTTCTGCAGGCAAGCGTCTAGATGCTACACAGCGGCTGTTCCCAACACTTAGTTAACGGAAACATTTTATTCCCAGCATGGATATATTATTGTTAATAGTCGCACATATTTTTTTTTTTTTTTTTTAAACCAAGACTGCATCTGGTACCCACTCAGAGCTGGGTTGACCTAAAAGCAAGTTAATCTACACCCCCCCCCCCCCCTTTCCTAAAGTTTAGCTTCGTCAGGACCCAAACCTACGACCTTCTGATAGGTTGTAAATTGTGTGTATTATTTGTTGTTATTTTATGTTATTTGCTCCATGGTCTGTATATTCAGGTAGGTTAATAGTGTGACCATTTATGTATTTAATTTACTCATAATTTTTTTTTGATTTGTAAGTTAAAGTTAGTTGTGTATTATTTAAATAACGTTTCAGAACCAACCCCAGCATTCTTTTTGTGTGTGTGTGTGGCTATTGTTTTTGTTTGTTTGTTTAGGCATATGTTACTTTCGGGAGTTTGCCATTGATTTGTTAATCTTGCAGGACCAACGCCAGCATTTTGTATACTTAGGATCTGTCTAGAGTACTACAGTGCTAGTTGTCACTAATCCACTTACGATAATTATTTCTTTATTCCAATGTTTCACATTTTTTGTAAAATTTCTCTATGCCGGGGAGGGGAGGGGGGAGTGTCTCTATGACGAAGTAGTCAAGCCGTTTGCCTCACATTCTGAAGGTCGTGGGTTTCTTTCACAGCAGAGTCATTAAGTTCATGAGTACACTGTTTATGGGGATTGCTGGAGGTCATCACTGGAGCTACGATTTGTGCTTTGTGCAAGCTCTCAGTAGGCAGTAAACTGTTGTGCAGAGAGAGAGAGACCAAGCCATATGGGATAAAAGCCAGTGCAATGAAGTCGGTCCTCTCAACTTTAACTCTTTCTTCTTCTTCTTCTTCTTCTTTTTTTTTCTTCTTCTTCTTCTTCTTCTTCTTCTTCTTCCTAATCTTCTTTCTCTTTTTCTTTTTCTTCTTTTCTGTAGTCTAATGTCTGGTTTTAAGGAGGCATCGGGTGTGAGCCTAGGTCTGTGCTACATAGATGCTGGTATTTATATCCTTGGATATTCCATCTATCCATCGCTGACGTTGTTGAGCTCTAGATTTGCTTCCATTGTGTCTGAGTGATAGCACATCCTTAAATCTCTATCTTGTCTTTTGTGTTTTATCTTGGTGAGATAAAGTAAAGCAGTGGTTCTCAAACTGGGGGCGTATGCCAGGGGTGCCACGGAATAATCAAGAATTTTTCCAAATCTGCTTTGAGCTCAGCCAAGGCAGCAGTTTAAAGCAGAAATACCGTGAAGGAAGCCAAGAAGAGTGCATTCTCAACGTACGCTTACACACACACAGCCAGATACAGGAGCAACCTTCAAGTGGTTTGAGGGTACAGTTAACTAAACTTCCCATAAACATAAAGGGAATAATGAAAAATTCATCCAAACAGTTTCATTCATCGCATTATCTTCTTCGCGTTCACCAGCTGTAAACTCTGGCGGAAGGTTCTGGTTGTTTGCTCTGCTCGGAGGTTGGAGTTGTCCCGCAAAGAAGCCGCAAGAAGAGGAGAGCCATCCAAATATGATGGTCGTTGCCGATCGCTGTCCAAAGCCCAGGTAGATGAGTACCAGTCCCAGGGAATACCATTTGTGGTTAGACTTAAAGTAAGTATATGAAGTACTTTAATGAATAACATTATTGTTTTCAGTCCTAGGCTTCTACTACATTCTTCACGTTCACCAGCTGCAAACTCTAGCGGAAAGTTTTGTCTATTGTTCCACCTCTGCACCTTAGTCCTTTTCCAGTATTTGAGTTTTGCCTGCACATCCGTTTTACAGATTTCACATTTCTAAACAACTTTTGGCTGCTTGTCTTTTTGGCAGGTGCACTTTGACTTTGAAGAAGACCCCTAATCAGTTAGTTGAATTTTACAACACGCTTGTTAGGGAGGCAGTTGGGACTATTCTTGTTTTCCCTCACTATAAGGCCCCAGAACCTGCACAGGGAAACTAAATTCTTGATTCTAACTCTTTCAGTTAATATTTGGTCAGAACAAACAAAGGAAATCTAGATTCTGCAATGTAATTACCAATGTGTGTATTGCCACTTGTCCGCATCTGTGGCTTAGGCATTGCTAACGCGCTTCATAATGCCGGAGTGCCAGGTTCGATCCCAGCCGCGGACAATTTGTCTTGCGTTGGTTTCGTATGTGGTACTGAGATCTGACCATACAGAAAGCAATGGCAAACTTGTGAATGAAAAATTTACCAAGAAAAACCACAACAGCCATGGGGTTGGTTCTGCAGCGTCCTGTAAAGGATACTCATCTAACTAATATTGCCACTAGGAAAGTAATGCATTCAGGCATTACGTCATGGTTATTTCATTTCTTTGGCATCTCCTGTGAAACATTCTGGCATTGAAAGAGTTAAATTAATCTCCTTTAGTTACTTGCATTCTAGTCATGCTTAAAAGTAAGTGAAATAAAGAATTTAGTAGACTATAACTGAAACCTGTTACACTATTAATTAAAGAGCATTAGATGGTTTGGCCATATGACAAGGGTTTAACTGTGGTAGCTAGCACAGAGAACCACGCTGAAAAAAAAAATTTAGTGGGAATATGAAATGAAAAGACTATATGATTCATGTTTGCGCCTCATTATATGTTGATTAAACTGTAGTAATATTTTAAACAAGTCCTTAAGAAAGAAAATATGGGTTTTTGAGCTGAAATGTTATAGAAAGATTCTCAGAGTATACTGATATTTAAAAAGATCTGTTCATCAAGGAAGATTGGCTGATAAACAGCATCTTGTCTCGAAAGCTGAAACATTATAGTCATATCAAGCACCATGGCAGATTGGAAAAAAATAATAGCAAAAAGCATGGTACCAGAAAGGAGGCACAGGGGCCGACCAACACGAAGATGGGCACAGGATATGAGTTACTCTTTGAATATGAAAGTAAATGAGGCGGGAGAGCTGGCGAATGCAAAGTGAAAACAAAGTTCTTTGGTCATGTGATGCGAAAAGTAGCACTGGAAAATATTGTGACGCTGGAAAGATCACTGGTAGAAAGAGGCAGCGGCAGACCAAGAGAAATGATGATGGATGGCTTATGACAGTCCCATGGAGGAATATGATCAGTGGAATTGATCCAGAACACCAAAAACTGAGATCTGTGGAGATGCATGAACCCCTATGCCAGCTGGCAGGGCACTTGATGAGGATGATGATGAATGCATAGATGAAGAAGACTTCTTTTTTCAAAATTTGTTCTGTGTACAAAATGTAGTGAGACTTTACAAACACCCTGTATATTTCAGTGTTGAGATATAATGGTTTCGTTTGTTGTAGCTGGAACCAACTTTAGATTCCTGGGATGACATGGTCAAGAGTGAGATGTCACACAATGTTCTAGACAGTGAAGGAGATCCTGTAAGTGCTGCACAGTTAGCCATGTCTTTTATTATAACATTTTGTTTAATGGTTGATTGGTTTTGAATCTTCTGAAGAGTTGGCACATTGTTTTGTGTTCACAGCTGCTTGATCAGCAAAGCCTTAAATTAGTCTCCAATCAGACAGCTTCTCGACCTAGCGTTTTGGATAACTAATATTACTGCTGTGTGTCTCAGATCTTGATGAAATCAGATGGATACCCGATGTACCATTTTATTTAAATAATATTACCTTTGTATGTCTCAGGTTGTCAGCTCTGTGGCTAAGTCGATGCGAACGCTTCGCTTCGTAATGCCGGGATGCCAGGTTCGATCCCAGCTGCGGGCAACGCGCCTTGCGTTGGTTTCGACAGTGGTATCAAGAAAGCCGACCGTCCAGAAAGCAATGGCAAACTACTGGATGTAAATTGCCTAGAGTAACCACACAACAGCCAGGGGCTGTTAGGGTTGGTTCTGCAAAGTCCTGTAAAGGATACGCAACTAACTATCTGATGTCTCAGGTTCTGCAGAAATCAGATGGATATCCAACCTACCATTTTATATAAATAATATTACTGTTGTGTGTCTCAGTCCTGATGAAATCAAATGGATGTGTGACCTGCGGTTTTGTATAAATAATAATTTTGTTGTATGTATTAGGTCCTGATGAAATCAGATGGATATCCGATCTGCGGTTTTGTATAAATTATATTACTGCTGTGTGTCAGTACTGGTGAAATCAGATGGATATCCGATCTGCGGTTTTGTATAAATAATATTACTATTTTGTGTCAGTACTGGTGAAATCAGATGGCTATCTGACGTGCGGTTTTGTATAAATAATATTACTGTTGTATGTATCAGGTCCTGATGAAATCAGATGGATATCCGACCTACCATTTTGCCAATGTTGTTGATGATCACTTGATGGAGGTGTCACATGTCCTCAGAGGATCGGTAGGTTCCATTTTTTGTCCCCCTCTTCAGTTAGTTTGAAAATATCAGTGTCATTCTCATGTGCTGTTTTCTTCATGGGTGTCTACGGTTCGCCATATCACATGATTCTTCTTTCCTTAACCTCTCTCTGAATCAGTTCATTCTTTTTTAATATTACAAACCTTTTTTTTTTCCCTTTTCGATCTGCGTTTGTGTGTGTGCTTATGTGTGTGTAAGTGTGAGTGTTGTGTATGTCCCTGTGTGTGTCTGTGTGTGCGAGTCTCTGCCTGATGTGTCTGTGTATGTGCCTGTGGCTGCATGTGTATGTGTCTGTGTGGGTTTGGCCATTGAGTTAACCGTATGTGTCGATTCCTCCCCACCAAATATATGGTTGACACATTCCGTTTCTGGGGACAGCTTTTATCGAGTTTGCTCTCTAGACAGTTGCAGTCCCCTGCTGACGAGATTCTGTCTTCCCGAGTGGACCGCCGCGATCAAAACATTGCGAAGGCAGCGTGGTCGAGGCTGCCAAAACTATCGGTCATTATCCCGCCCCGACACAGCACAACCACAATACACGCTGTTCCCACGAAAAACACATAATATCCTGCGTTGGAAATGCGCATAAAATAGCAGTCCATGATTATATAACAGAATAATCCGAGAGAATTGACAGCCAGCGACAATAAACACAGCTGCTGTCCGCCATTTTGAAAACGGAAGTCTGTGTGGGTTTATGTCTGTGTGTGTGTTTGTAGGTGTCTTTTTTGTGTGGCTGCGTGCGTGTCTGTATAACTATGTGTATCTGGGTTGTTTGCATATGTGTCTTAGAGTGTGTTTGTGTGTGTATTTATGTATGTGTGTGAATGTATGTAGGCATGTATGGGGGTGTGTATGCATGTTTGTATGTTATTGTGTGTGTAAGTGAATGGATTGGTTTGCGTGTGTATGTGGCTGTGTGTGCGTGCGCATGCTTAGCACTGATCAGGTTCTTTGTTTTTGAAAACATGTCCTGATTAAAGCAATAGCATGGTGGAACATCTTCAGTGGAATTGATTCAAAATACCAAGGTCTGAGATCTTTAGAGAGACAATGAGCACCTGTGTGCCTGGGCTTGGCAATTGTAATGTTGATGCACATATATATATATATATATATATATATATATATATATATATATATATATATATATATATATATATATATATATATATATATATATATATATATATATATATATTATATATATATCCTTACCCCAAGATTTTTAGGATTAATTAATTGAATTTGCCATTTTGTTCTCCAGAGATGGAACTAAACTTTCGAAACGACAAGGTGATATACATGTGGAGCATTTTATAGTAAGAAAAACATCATCCTAGACTTAATTATTTTTTTTCCTTTTTTTTTTCAAGTTTTGAGATGAGTGAGGTGTTTTGGATTGTCTATCTGTCTGATCCATCTATATATCTGTCTGTCTTACTGCCTGTCTATCTGTCTGTTCATCCATCCATCTGTCCATTTGTTTACTGAATGTTCGTCGGCCAATTTATATGTCTGTCTGTCTGTATGTCTTCATTGAGTTTATGAAATCATTTGTGCTTACCATCGGGTAACATTTTGGGTTGAATCTCCATAAACATTCTTCAAACGTTTGTGGATGCAAAGTGGGAACTCACTTTTAGCACTGAGGAATTCTGGGACATTATGTTGTTTTAACCAAACATCTGTGGAAGCCATTTTTAAATCATAACTATTACTTCTTCTTCTTCGTGTTTACCGGCTGTAACCTCTGGCGAAAATTCTGGTTGTTAGTCCACTTCTGGACTCTAGTCCTATTCCACAACCTGAGTATTGCGTGTACATCCATTTCACAGGTCTGACTCATTTGATGCATACTGCTGGTTCCTTGCCTCTCAGGCAGATGCACTCCGACTTTGAAGGAAGCTCCCAGTTAGTCAACTCCTACGACATGCTTTTGGGGAGGCAGTGGATCTATTCTTGTTTTCCCCCATAATGAGGCCCCAGACCCATACGGGGAATTACTAATAATGAAACAGGTTGCCCTTGCTGTATAGGGAAGAAAACCGTTTGAGGAAGCCTGCTTAATTTGCAAGTTTCACACTGAAACAGTATTTACATAGATAACAGGAGGTATTACTTTTTACCCATTCCTGGTGCAGCTGAAAGTGCTGATCAAAGTCTTTATCAATAGAGAACTAAATTCGGTTAATGTCACGTTAATCTCCACAAATAGAGTAGGGTCACTTGTCATTCACAAGTTTGTTGGGCTGGTCGACTTTCCTGAAGGTTACGGGTGTGTCCCCCTCTGTTGTTTGCTTTTTGTCTTGTCTTGCATTTATGTTTTCATTTTGAGAAAGAGAATACCTGTGACATAGGTTGCAGCACTCTCTAGGGTGGTTGTGTTAGGGCCAGTTTCTCCATGTTTTTGGAGTGTTAAAAGCACTAGCGTGCTAAAATATACAACACGCGATATCAACTGCATTGCGGAACACCCCCATAACCTTGTGCCTAGGTGACAGGTTCAGGAACTACCAATCATAAGTGAGCTAGTGTGTATATGGGTGGGGGAGGGGGGATTACTGTTACGTGTACCCTAAATACAACACAATCCTTATGTTTATGAGTGCGGATGTCTATGAAAGATCACACACACACTACATGGAAACATACTAAAAAATCTCTCTCTCGTCTTGGTCAAGAGAAACACCGGTGCAAGCCAAACTTTACGGGTCACTGAGTGAATTACAAAAGACGGTGAAGTTTATACTAGAGACAATATTGCAGATATAGATAATCTATTTCAGACAAAAGAAGAAGAAGTCAACACAAACTGTGAATGAAAATTCAGTGGACAAGACAACAGAGCTTATAAGTAGTCATGATCAAAATGAAACCCGAAATATGTAATAGGAGGAAATGGGGGGGGGGGGGGGGGGGGGGCTATATTACGAAATTAAACAAATAAGTTGTCTGGGGGGAAAATTGAAGAAATATAAGCACGTTAAATAAGTAAATTATTTTTTTTTTAAATCAAATAAAGGTATGCTGAATATTGAAAGCTGCAGGACTGAGAACACCAAAACTGAATGAATTGATTTTCCAGGAAGAGGTGTCATATGTGATCACCAGAGCAAGATTTTATGGCAGCAATTGAGATGTCACGTTGTGAGAACTGTTAAAATGGAAAGACTAGTTTATGAGTCATATTGTGAATATCCAGAAGCTGCTCACAGAAACGATCGGCCCAACTTCCTTCCAAATTCCCTAGTTTATGGCTTTTTGTATTTGCTGCAGATGATGGCATAGATGTTTAGCGACTCGCTTGCCCTAGCTCCTGTGAGTGACTAGAATCATATACAGTCAGCTTGCCATCTCGACCTATCTTCTTTTAGTCCATGCCATGTGGAGCTGGTAGTCATATCTGTCCACTACCTTCCTAAGGGGGCTGAGTGGTCTCGAGGGTTGGCGTCTGCCTTGAGTGCTGGAGGGCCTGGGTTCAGCTCCCGGTGAATGCTGAGATTTATTTTTCACTGAACTTCTAGTAATTTTCCCTGGTCTCTGGTTAGTAAAATAGGAAGCCTGTTTGCATTGTTGCGCACGTAATAAATCCCCTGGTCAGTGGGAAATCGAAAAGAGTAGTCTAACGGCACTGCCTGGGCAAAATTTGGAGTATTTCAGGATCCTCACCAGTGCTACAGAGTTTGTGCACTGCGCTAAGATTCTTCAGACTGAGGCTTGATTTAGAATTAGAACAGAGCACTTATGGGTTACTACCCTTGTCCATGATGTTGATCCGTTGTTTAAACCAAACCAAACCTTCTGTCTCACGTTCTTTCGGTAATTTCTACCACAGATGATTTTCTATGCCATGTTGTCAAACTGTGCAGCATCTTCTCTCTCAGTCTCCCTCAGCTTCTAATTATAAAATGTTAATATCGATAAATTTTGTGTGTGTGGCTAGGCATCTGGTTACTTCCCACAAGCCGTGCTTAATTACATCACTTCTATCGGTGGAGGTTTCAGCAAGAAGACACTGGACTTATCGCTGGAGCAGATGTGTAAGTCGGTAAGTATAAATATATATATATATATGTGTGTGTGTGTGTGATAATATTATTTAAGTCAGTAAGTAGCACCTTATCATCATCATCATCAAGTGCCTTGCCGACTGATGTGGCAGTTATGCCACTCCACATTCAGCAATCTTCAACAGCATGTATCAGTTCCGTATGCTGACACCTCTTTATGCCATGACAAGAGGCTTTAAAAAATCTTGCATCGCCTTCCTCTGTTTCTCTTTCCACAGAACTTTCAAGCGGTCACAAGGTGTTCCAGTCTCCTTCTTCTCATATTGTGACCCCAATAAAAGGATTACTCTCTTTCTGATGTTTGTGATAAGTTGCCTTCAAGCCCTCACCTCTTTCAAAACATTTGGGTTGCTCTTTTTGTTGTCCGAGGGATTCTAAGAATTCTTCTGTAACATCACATTTCCGAGGCTCCCACGTAACGCCTATGTCTTTTTTATACATCAACTTACTCACAGTTAAGAGGAGTCGCCGTGGCAGTGCAGCTAGACGCTCGCCGCAGATCAGAAGGTTGTGGGTTCACTCCCTGGCAGAGCCGGACTTTTTTTCAAAAATGACCTTGGCTTCCAGGTCGGCCCAGCCTTGAGTGGGTACTGGAGAGCGTTAGGCTAACCACATCACCCATCTTGTGCCAACTGGTCTATAAAATATAGGTCTATATATGCCCTATACGCCTCATGGCCTGGAAAAGGGTCCTTTACTCAACTTGCTCACAGATTAATCTGGTGTAAACTAAGTTATTAATTATTCTAATACATACAAATGTAAATTATTAAATTAAAAACCAATGTAATAATTGTTGTAGCTGGTATTCTTCTTCTTCTTTGCTTTCACCGGCTGTGAACTCCGGCGGAAAGTTCTGGTTGTTCATCCACTTCTGAACTGCAGTCCTGTTTCAGAACCTGAGTGTTGCGCTTGCATCCGTTTGACAGATCTGACTCATCTGTGTGCACACTGTTGGTTCCTTGTCTCTCATGCAGATGTACTCCCACTTCGAAGAAAGCTCCCAATTAGTCGACTCTTACGACATGCTTTTGGGTAGACAAATGAAGTGGTTTGGACACCGAACAAGAATGCCCTGGTACTATCCGCCACAGCGAGCCACACTAAAACGTTACTATGGGTATAGAGCGAGTGGAAGACCTCAGAAAATATGGAGTGATGGCATTAAGAACAGCCTGACAGAAATGTACATCAGTCTTAATAATGCTCTTGACAGAGCTCATCAACGAACATAACATCTCCCCCCGACACTTCGATGAGATACAATGTGGAAGAGAAAGAGAAGAAGTAGTGGGTCTGTTCTGGTTTTCCCTACAATAGGGCCCCAGAACACAATTGGGGAGTAGCAGGTATGAAGAACTAAAGTAACAGATCATTTTACTTATTTAGGAAGTAATTTTGGTAGTCAGGAAGATTAAAAAACAGAAATTATGACACACATTGGCAAGGCATCAGCGGCTTTTAAAAGCCTGAACAGTATATAGAACTCAAAATGCTATAGTTTTAAAACCTTGTTACATATTTTCAATTCTAAAGTTATTTCAGTTTAAACAAATGCAGGTTGAGAATCATTAGAAACCTGGTATGGAAGTTAAATACAGTTGAAAACAAAATCCCGAGGAAAATATTGAACATAAAATGGGATAAATTCAAGGGGGGGGGGGGGGGGGGTGACAAAATAAGAGGCATGTCTGGGCATCCATACAGAACAGCAGTTGTTTGAGGTATGCGGTTTGAACAACTTATCACCATCGTGGTGCACGGGTGGTAACCCATAAGTGCTCCGTTCTTTTTCTAACTCAAGTCCAAGTCCGAAGAAGCTAAGCACAGTGCACAAGCTCTGTAGCACCGGCAATGGGACCGCAGTTGTAAGACAAAAGATGCAGCTGTATTCGACATTCTGAGAAGAAATGAATGAGTCACCGAACGGGCGCTGAAGTGGGATATGAAAGTAGTGAGGAAGCGAGGGTGTCCAACAAAAACCTGAGAACGAACATTGACGAGAGAGGCCTGGGGAGCTTGACAGGACAGAAGCAAGTGGTGGAATAATAGACTGAGCCTTATGTGACATATGATGGCAAAATGGGGCAATGATGATGAAAAGCCCTCTTTGAAGGAAACCTCCACCTTAGTTAGTCAGCCTTTAGGACATGCTTGCTAAGGGGTCATGTGAATTTCTATTCTTATTTTTCTCCACGAAGGATCCACAAACCCCACAGGGGAAGTTTCATCATGTAGAAAGAGTTAAACTAATTTATTTAAACATACTTTTCAGTTTGATGTAAGTAGGATCAAAAGCAACCCAGCTCAGCTCAATCCATTGTTGCTGAGTGAATCTAACAGACACATTCTGCGGCAGAAGGCCGAATCTCAAGACCAAGCTACTTTGACTGAACTGGCCAGACAAGTCAGGGAACTGGTTGTGAACAAGTTTAATGAAAGGTAAGATGCCAAACATCTGTAAGTCTGGTTGTGAACAAGTTTAATGAAAGGTAAGATGTCAAACATCTGTAAGTCTGGTTGTGAACAAGTTTAATGAAAGTTAAGATGTCAAACATCTGGAAGTCTGGTTGTGAACAAGTTTAATGAAAGGTAAGATGTCAAACATCTGGAAGTCTGGTTGTGAACAAGTTTAATGAAAGGTAAGATGTCAAACATCTGTAAGTCTGGTTGTGAACAAGTTTAATGAAAGGTAAGATGTCAAACATCTGTAAGTCTGGTTGTGAACAAGTTTAATGAAAGGTAAGATGTCAAACATCTGGAAGTCTGGTTGTGAACAAGTTTAATGAAAGGTAAGATGTCAAACATCTGTAAATCTGGTTGTAAACACGTTTAATGAAAGGTAAGATGTCAAACATCTGTAAGTCTGGTTGTGAACAAGTTTAATGAAAGGTAAGATGTCAAACATCTGGAAGTCTGGTTGTGAACAAGTTTAATGAAAGGTAAGATGTCAAACATCTGTAAGTCTGGTTGTAAACAAGTTTAAAGAAAGGTAAGATGTCAAACATCTGGAAGTCTGGTTGTGAACAAGTTTAATGAAAGGTAAGATGTCAAACATCTGTAAGTCTGGTTGTGAACAAGTTTAATGAAAGGTAAGATGTCAAACATCTGGAAGTCTGGTTGTGAACAAGTTTAATGAAAGGTAAGATGTCAAACATCTGGAAGCCTGGTTGTGAACAAGTTTAATGAAAGGTAAGATGTCAAACATCTGGAAGTCAAAAGAAAACATTCAACAAGCACACAAATCTTAGGATCTTCAACTCCTGTGTGATTCCAGTGCTAACTTTTGGATGTGAGAGTGGAAGGCAACAGTAGCCCTAGATAAAGAACAAAAAAGACAATTTTGAGAACAAATGTCTTAGAAGAATACAATATCTCCACTGGACAGATTTCACATCCAGTATGCAAATAAGAGAAGAGACCAAGCAAGATAATATATCTAATTTTATAACAAAGCACCGCTTAAATTACATCGGCCATGTACTCAGAATGGATAAGACCAGACTTTCCCCATCAAGCCCTCATATGGACACCTGAAGGGAAAAGAGAACAGGGAAAAATAAGACAGACCCTGGGTAGAACCATCACCAGGGAAGGCTCAGCCATGGGCTTAATAAACATCCAAGAGCTAAAACAGATGGCAACGAACCGCCAGACATAAAGAGCTATGACCTCTGCCCTAAGCGCACCATAGGCTCAAGAATGTTGAATAAGAATCAACATCATAGCACTCAGGACACCCCCATAAGCGCTCCGTCCCCAATTCCGATGGCACCAGTAACTGTCTGATTGTATATCCGTCTCACCCTTCCCTTGAGTGTTGAGCGTTGGCCAGATCCCCTGGTAACTCCTCGCAGCGCCTTTCTCCTCAGACCGTAATGATCAATTTGCGCTCCCCACCGTTCACTCACTCCCAGAAGGCCCTCACAACTTCTAGCTTGTCATACATCAATTCACCACCAAGTGGTGCAGAACCGACTAGTCTATCTGGCTCCTCATTTCCCAACATACTGGTATGACGTGGAGAGGGTATCCAAAGGATACTAACTACCTGATACCTCTGAAGTGATGCTTGCCACTCTGCATGGAGCATACCTGTCTCCACCTTTCTCAGCATGCTCTGTGAGTCAGTTACAATCACGGCATATGTGTACAGCTGATTCTCAAGTCAGCGGAAGGCAGCAGTGACTGCCTCCACCTCTATTCTCAAACTAGACAATGTGATATCATATGCCAGGTTTTGTTGCACTAAGCAACGTCTCATAGCCTCTGCTATAAACCCCAATGCACTTCATCTGCCCCTCACCACAGAGCCATCTGTATATACAATCACATCACTTGGGCAGGAATGGTCATGAATCATTTGTTGAACTTCTGATTCTGCAGCACCAGCTGGCCAGTCCCTGCACTCACGACCCAAAGTAATAAGAACCCTGCACAACTCTGAAACTTGCTTGGACACTTTAACCCACTCCTCACCTCGCACAAATTTATCAAGCCTGCACACATGTCCAAGTGTGTCTTCAGCTTGCGCCATCCAAGACCTTCCTCTTTTCAGTCTGTGACCCTTAGCTCTACCCAGGGCTTCTTGTTTGCAGCCACTCTGAGATATGACTTTGCTTGCACAACTTTGAGCCTATCTGCAATAGTAGGCAGTGCATACATACTATCGGGGTATCTTTTTTACATCCCAGAATTACCCACATGGCTTCATTCTATGTGCATTCAAGGTTCAAGAGAAAAGACTTACTAAGTGTTTTTTGCCCTCCTTCTTCTGCTGTTTCTACTTTAGGTTCACTGGCTGTAAACTCTGGTGAAAAGCTCTGGTTGTTTATCTACTTGTATACTTTAGTCTTGTTCCAGGACTTGAATTTTGCTTGCACAACCATTTTACAAATCTGGCTTACTTGTATGCAGACTGTTGGTTCCTACAAAAACACACTAGTTACAACTTGGACCCCTCATCCTCTTATAGTCCTTGTTGTGTGATGTTGGTAGTCATATCTATCCACAACCTTCTGTCTCATGTGTGTTTGTTTGACTTCATATTTCAGATTAGGGACAGGCACATTGAGGGAACAAGTGATCAGTGATGAAAATATACTGAAAATTCTCAGGTGGAGTCTTCAAGATGTAAGCTATTGAAAAAAAACTGTCATTACTCTGTGTATTTACCAGTTTTGCTCTCTCTCTCTCTCTCTGTCTCTGTCTCTCTCTGTCTCTCTCTGTCTCTATCTCTCTCTCTCTCTCTCTCTCTCTCTCTCTCTCTGTCCCTCTCTCTGTCTCTCTCTGTCTCTCTCTCTGTCTCTCTCTCTCCCCTCCCCCCCATGGGCGCTATGAGCCTGAGGATTTAAGGCTGCATGGCAAGGGCAGAGGCCATGGACTGAACAAGGTACTTAGGATTTGATTTTTGCCCCTGACAGACAAAACCAATAACCTTACCGGGCATTGGACCCTGGAGTCTCCCATTAGCCGCTCCTCAAGATGTAAGTAAAACTAAGTAAAAGACCCTTTTCCTGCCAGTGAAACATTGGGCCTGTGATCTTAGGCACATATTTTGATAGACCTGTTGTCACTTGGCGGATGACGATACCTTGACTTCACTGGGTTTCAATTTTGTGGCTGGGTCAGCCTGGTAGTTAAGGTCACGACAAATATCTGACTCGATGTGGATTTTAACCTAAGACCTTCAGGTTGGCGGGTGAGGTTCTAGCCGCTACCCTACGCCCTGGGAACAGTAAAAAAAAAAAATGTTGACTTCTTTGGAATTCTGAAAAAGATTATTAAATGAAACAACAATGACAGATCAAAAATAAATTGTTTACAGATTTATTTATCTATATTTTAGAAACTGATTCACGAAGAGAACTGATTGCCTACATCAGAAGGAGACAATCTACATTCTTTGGTCATGTGATGAGAAAAAGAAAACAAGTACATTGTGACAGGAAAGTTGGAGGGGAGATAAAGTAGGGTGTGAGGATTTTATTTTGCCCCTGACAGAAAAAATTCCCAGCCTTACCGAGGATTCGAACCTGGCTCTCTTTCTCACATTTTGTAAATCTTTTTAGTGACTTATTTAGAGTATTCTTCTTCTTCTTCTTCTTGTTCACCGGCTGTGAATTCCGGCGGTAAGTCGCGGTTGTTCGTCCAAAATGGACTTTTGGCTTTTACCTTGACCTGAGTTTTGCGTGTACATCCGTTTTACTGGCTTATTTGTTTGCAGTTCTCGTTCCCCGCCTCTCCGGCAGATGTACTCCGACTTCAGAGGAAGACGTCAAGCCTATTTCTAGGTTGACTGTGGCCATTGTTTTGTGTGGGTCGAGATGTTGCCTCATTTGTGTGGTGTCCTCTTTGACTTAACAGGTGTGGCCCCCGGAATGTTGTCTTTAAGGCAGCTCTATGTAGAGTTTTCAGCCCTCAAGGAAAGGCAGGGGCAGATCATGGGCATTCCCCGCCATCCAAGGAGGCTTCCACAAATGCAGAGCCGACACATGATGCTCTGGTTCTGGGCTCACCCAAGGAATCGTCACATCCTGCCCATGACGGCTTAACCTCACAACCGTGTATTGAGCTTCCCGCGCTACAAGGCTGCGCTCTCCGGAGAACAGCGGGGAGCAGCCGGCAGGTCTAGGACGTTTGTGGCCACACAAATAGGTACATTCTTTTTCATCTTACGTTAGACACCTTTAACGTTGTTTCAGCTGTGCCCTTAGCACGACAGAATGGGGAAGCAAAATGCGTCAGGCGTGGCTTCACCTGTTTGGTCCCAACACTCGGGCGAGTTGGACCAGTGGATACGGACATTCTGACTTTTCCTAATTGGTACGAATTATGATCGTCGGACTCTGAGCTTGCATGTGTGCCGTGGGATATAACTTTGTCGGACATTATTTCCAAACCAGCATATGAAAAGTTGCTGCCGTGGTGTACCTCAGCGCGGTGACGACGACACTGAGGATTGAGGATGTACGTAGGTAGGATCTTGCTGCGAGAAGTCGCCCACAAGAGATGTTACTCGTCTTGGCTGCGGGTAAATCTCTCGGTCAGGGTTGAGTCTCAGCAGCACAGTTTTAAATTCCCTCTCGAATTTTAACCAAGAGTTGTCATTTAATGGTACATTTAGCAAGCAATTCGTGAGTTTTGTTAGACTTTTCACCCATGCGTTTGGGGGCGGGCTGGTGAGAGCCAGAAAGGACACTACACCTCTAGGGGCCGCCAGCTCCGAGATCCCCTGCCAACTCTGTTAATGCTCCTTTGAGACATTATCCGTGGCGCACAACGGGAACGTGCAGCAGGAGTCTTGCATGAGGTTCCGTAAAACCAGAACAGTGAAGGACTGGCGCCCGAGTGGGGAACGGAGTATTTCCTTATACACCTCACATCAGACTTAACTTTGCCTCATGCCTGTGACCGAAATCACCGCGCCACATTTAGAGTATAATCAGAAACACAAATAATAATAATAAACTGAAATCTGAATTGTAATATTTTATTTTGTTTCTTGCAGGAGAGAACAAGTGTTTTATCTGACTTTGTCAAACCTGAACTAGAGTATCTGTGGGTGACTCCGAGTCAGTCGAATCTGTCAGAACTCGTTAAAATGGACAACAAGGCAGAATCATTGCTGTCTATGTTCCTGGAATGGGTCACTGCGGAGGAGAACTTCACAGTTGATCATCTGGGAGCTGAGTTGAGAACATTTGCCAAAAAACACGGAGCCAGGACCAGCAAGTTGTTCATGTTTCTTAGGATGGCTCTAACTGGACTTAAGGTATGTGGTATCATCGTGAATCCTTTCTTCCTGGAAATTCTAAAAAAAAATAGGTTGTTACCTAGATAGGTTAGAATGGGTTAAAATTCTGGATAAGTTTTTGTTTATACATGTCGCTAATAAATTCATTAAACTATTTATCTACATTTAAACTAGGGTTGTACTGAATAGTGATTTTCACTATTCCGCCGAATACGAATAGCTGAACTATCTATTCAAACGAATAGTGAATCATCATCATCAGGTGCTTTGCCTACTGGCATGGGCGATTATGCCTAGCCACAATCTGCGATCTCCTGCAGCATGTATTAGTTCGTGTGCTGACACACCTCCATGACATGCAACACGACTGTCAAGAATCTTCTCTCATTGTCTTCCTCTATCCCTCCTTCTTTACAGTGGTCACCACATGTTCCATTTTCCCTCATCTTTTAACATGGCCGAAAAATGATGACTGTCTCTTTCTGATGTTTGGGAGTAGTTGTCTTCGGGCTCCCGCCTCTTTCAAAACGTTCTTGGTTGCTTTTCTGGGCTGTCCAAGGTATTTTAGACATTCTTCTGTAAAACCACATCTATGAGGCCTAAGAAATTGTTTGGCCTGCCTACCGATTGTCCAGGACTCACAGCCATATGTTAAAACTGGATGTATGTAGTAAACAAGAATTCTTTTTCTAACCTTCAATGACAAAGATATATTGCATAAGATGTTCTTCATTTTATAAAATGCAGTTTTTGCCTGTCCTATTCTGTTTCTTATTTCAGTAATGCATCTTCCATCTGATGTTATCCATGTGCCCATATACTTAAATTTCTGTACTTGTCCCAAAATAAAACCATTGAACTTTATTACACATTTAGGAATAATTATTTTCTTTGATACCACCATTACTTCTGTCTTCCTACTCTTCAAACTGAGGCCCATTCTTCCACTTTCAAATAGTGTATATAATAGATCTAAAAAAAAAATTTTTTAATCTATAATGTCAAATCTACGCTAAAATTTTACTTCACAAAATGTAGTACAGAATAAAACACACTTAAAAACATTTCATGTTTTGCATCCTTCAGTCAGTCAGTCTGTGGTAACTAATACCTAGGAATGAAAGTATTCTTAGTTTTATAACAAGTAACTAAACTTGTAAATTGTTACTGACAGCTTACTTAATCCATGAAAGCGGCATTAGCTTTCGAATAAAATAAAAAAAACTTTATTCCATGTTTTCAGTATTAAGGCAGCTTCTTGTCTCACTGAAGGTTTTTCCAGCTGTACTAAACAGACGTTCACTTGGTACGTTCGTAGGTGGTGCACAAAGATAACGCTTGACAGTATGAACCAAGGTGGGAAATCTTGATATGTTTATTTTCTACCAGTCCAGAAGCGGGTGTAAGGTAACCACTATTCGTATTCGGCCGGACCGCAACTATTCAGCAGAATACCGAATAGTTATTAGGTCCACTATTCGGCCCCGAAGCGAATACGAAGCGAATATTTGGTACAGCCGTAATTTAAACATGTGGGTTTTTTCTAAAATATATAAAGATATTTGAAAGGAGTTAACAGCAAACACTAGGAAGGTGAAGCCTTAAATATAATACGTCCCCTAGGGTCTAAAAAATCAAACATGTATCCGGTGACTCAAGCAGTGACCCTGTGATCTCTATCACTGAGGCTTAGGGGGGAAATCTGACATAAAACTTAGCTTTTTTTTTTAAAGCCATTTAACTTAAAGGAAAACTCTATAAATTCTATTGTTAGTTTATGTGCTTCATATCCTGACCTCTAAACCTTTTGTACAGGCGCAGACTCGGCCAGAAGCATTAAGTGTGCATTTATGTAAACAGGTCACTATAGAAAAGTCAGAAAGCAACATTTACAAGACATTGGACCCAGACAGAAGTATTGGTTTTTCAGCTTCTTGGAGCTAAAGGTTCAAGGAACTGGTATGGTGTAGTGGTTAGCTTTCTTGCTTAGTGGTCCTGTAGTCATAGGTTTGATTGCACCATTGAAGGGGATTTTTTTTTATTATCTGGGCTTTTAGATCCCCCCTGCCTATCAAAGCCCTTAAAGAGCAAGTGAACAATGTGGAAGCATGAATAATGTGACCTTATGTCCCATTTTCACCCGGACAGTCCCGTTTAAGCATGTGTGCCCTAGACAGTCCCGTTTGTGTATGTGCTTACGCGCGTGCCCGGATGTCCTGTCGGTATCACACACAAATCAACATTGTCTCATTTAATAACAATGTAAGAATAAGCTTGAGAACAGAACATCGGCTTATATCTGTAGATTTTATTAGGTTTCATAGTTTTAGATACTTTTAATGCCTGAAATGTGTTGAAGGGAATTTTAATTGCAGCTTGTTTTTAGCGCGGTTAAGAAGCATTTTGTTTTGTTAATTTTTTTAAGCAGCAGTGGTTCTGGCTTTAATACCATTGTTGAGCAAGTAATTAGCCCTTTTACCTCGGTGACTTAGAGAATAAAATAGGAGTAGGGTTACATTGACTTCCTTGGCCCTAATTAGTATGGTCATCCTAAGCATGAATAGATTATTTTAGTCTGGTTCAACAGGGAGTGACTAGGATATGTGGTCAAGGCATCACTCATAGGAATGAGTTGAGTTGAGTCAAGAATTGACATCACAGCACTCGGGGCATTTCCCTTACACGCTCCATCCCCATCCTCAGCAGCCAGCGCAGAGTTCAAATACTAATGGTGCCAATGGTAGTCTGGTTGTATGTCTGTCTTGTCTTTCCTCTGGGCGTAATGTGCCGGCTAAACCCTCTGGTACACTTATAGAAAAGACAAGAGAAACATGTAATCAAACAGCTACAGTTGCCATTGGGAGCCACTGTGGTGCATTGAGAGAGACAATACAATGTTTTAATTTTATTGGCAAGAATTTGTGCTTTGTTTTATTGTGTGTTGACGTAAATTTACAGTAATGCATCTGACAACAAGACACAGCCATATATCATCGTCATCATCATGTGCTCTTTCATGCGTCTCCACAGATTACGATCCCTGGTTGCCTGGAACAGCTCTCTTGATAATATCCCTCCATGCCATCGTTTCAGCCCATCCAGCATCATCTCTCTTGGTCTGTCTCTGCCCCTTTGCCACTGATCTTTCCAGCGTCTCTTTCTCATTATGTGGCCAAAGAACATTGTTTGTCTCTTTCTTATTATTGTATTTAGAGATCTACTTTCTTTAGCTTCTTTCAAGCAATTGTTGTTAGTTACTCTGGCCGTCCAAGGTATTCTTACAGCCATATATATGCCAGGCAGTAAATTGAACAATGTATTGTTTATGTCTGCATTACCTAAATATTATGTATTCATTTGTTTCTGTTGTTGTTTGTTTTTCTAATCAGGAGGGACCGCCTGTAGCAGAGATGATGTCAGTAATTGGAAAAGACAGTGTGATGCTGAGGCTGAAGACATCGTTGGAATGTGTTAGACATGTGTAAAGTTGTTGGCACCTCTCCGTCTTTCCAAATGATAGTGTTATAGTGTGCTGTGAGAAGGCATGTGTCTCACCGCCCAAAGCGTTGGTGAGTGTGACTAGCAAGACCTGCCAGTGTTAAGAAAAGTCTTCCACAATTTTAGCATGGGATTTCAGGACCAATTTTGTCAACATTTGTGTTTAGTCTGTTTCTTCTCAGACGCTTAGCTCTCATCCCTTCTGCAGTCATTTCTTCATTTATTCCCATTCTCTTCCTGGTGTGTCCCCTCCGTTAAACATGGGCTAAGACCATAACAAAAAGCCTGGGAAATATTATAGAGACCATATGTTGCCCATGCATTATGATCCCTCGTTCAACCTGCCTTGTTTAGTCCAGAGGAAAGGTAACATCAGTACATTTTGAAACAAAGCAAGCTGCAGGGTGGAAGAGCGGAGCTGTCTCTGTCTGCCTGTCAGAACTTCCCTCCTAGACCAGTTGCCAGCCAAGGCTAAGAACCTAGTCCGCCCAGCCTTAACATAAAATTTCCAGGTTGCATTTCCTCTTCCTAGGACAAAGTATTGGTTGTTTATAACATGGCTGATTTTGTTTGTGATGTCATCATTGAATGTGAAAAGCATGTGTAAATTGTGAATCATTTGTAATAGGGTTGATATGGTCGGGTCTTGATCAGGTATGACTGAGCTGCCGTATAAAAGTAACCGGCACTAGCAAAAAAAAAAAAAAATTGAAATGTTACACATGTATAAATTGTGAAGTGTTTATTGTCTTTTTTTTTTTTTAAACGTTGACATATGCCAGTGCGGCGTCCGTGGCTTAGGCGTTGTGAGTCAGACTCATAATTCCAGCGTACCGAGATTGAAACCCACTGCTGGCTGTGTGGATTTTTATCATGGTATGGGGCATCGCAAGTCGACCCAGCCTAAAATGGGTACCAGGATGTATGTCCTGGGGAAGTAAAGACGGTCGGCGTAATGCTGTCCACATTACCCACCTAGTCCCGATTAGTCTGTAAAAATATGGATGCTTTTCCCGTATGCCTGATGCGCCTAAAGGCGTGAAAAGGTATCTTTTACATATGCCAGTAAAAGTTAGGGAAGCCCCAAGGACATCAAACAAAAGTTAACTGCATATGAAAAAAAATGCCTGAGGCAAATGGTGTGCATAAAATGGGATGAATTTAAGACGTTTTGAAGTAATAAGAGAAATTTCTGGGCAACCACTGGTTATCAACAGTTACAAGACCCAGTAGATAGTGCCAAATTGGACACATCCTGAGAAGAAATTGGAGGGGAATCGCCAAACAAGCACCGAAATTGGAAATCAGATGATTGGAGAAATAAAAATGTTTAAGAGAAATCCTGAAGTAAATGTTGATGAGGGAGTCGCTGTGGCGGAGCTGCTAGACGCTCACCTGCGGCTCGGAAGGTCGTGGGTTTGCTTCCTGGCGGAGCCAGACTTTTTTCAAAAATGACCTTGGCTTTCAGGTTGACCCAGCCTTGAGTGGGTACCAGGTGCAGTCCCGGGAAGTAAAGGCAGACGGCGTGATACTGGTCACATCATCCATCTTGTGCCGATTGGTCTATAAAATATAGGTCTAGCCCTATACGCCTGAGAGGCGTGGAAAAGGGTCCTTTTATAAATGTTGATGAGAGGGGCTAAAGGTACTAAAGGGACTGAATTCCATCCATGATATCGAAATGATTGCACAGGACTGAACGGAGTGGGGAGCCCGGCTCACTAGCGTAGTTGGTTAAACCTGACTTCGCAGCGACTGGGTGACGAACTCCTTGTGGTCCAGGTTCACACCCAGGGGGTAGGCAGAAAAGCCATATTTCTCCAAAATTTACGGTATCTGTCATGGAATCAAGGCCAAAGGGTTGCGATATCCATAGTACCGAGCCAAATGGTTAACAAATCATGGTTTCTGGATATTTAAAGAAAGAAAGAAAGAACAGAGTTTGGAAATAGGCTGTGAGCCCAGTGTGACATATAATGGAACTAGAGGACGATGAATGAATGTTTGAACCTGTCTATGTGGCAGAATGCTACCTGCCTACCAAACAAAAAGTGTCTGAGCTTTATTTTCCAGATCAGCAGAAACAGACTGTAAAGTTAACATCATCATTTGAGTGTGTTAAATGTGTGTGAAGTGTGAATTATTTATAATAATGCCGATTCTGTTTATGAATGTGTGTGGCAAAATGCAGCTTTTAATTAGTGGGAGCCGCCGTGATGTAGCGGGTCCGAAGGTCTTGTGTTGGAATCCGAACAGTGCTTGACTTTTTTCATTAATGGGTACCAGGTATAGCCCTGAGAAGTAAAGATGGTCGGCATGATGTTGTCAGCATCACCTGCCAAGTGCCGATTGGATTGGTGTATACAATGTATGTCTAGCACTGTATGCCCAATACGCCTAATAATGTAGAAGAGGGTCCTTTACTTTGAAGTTAGTGAACATGTTTCACACTTCTCAGTGTATATGGGTTTGATTTCTAGAGCGGGTGATTTAGAAGACAGGGGGAGAAAAAAAAAGCAGTTCATTTGAAGTGCTTGAACCAACAAATGTTGGCTCTGATGTTGAAACTGAAGTCAACATTGAAGTTTGTGAGATATATGTATAATTTGTGAATCATTTGTAATGTGGTTGATTCTGATAACGTGTTTATGTGACAAAATGGTTGCATAATGCAGGCATATCTGAGATTTAATCTTCTCCTCCTCCTCCTCCTCCTTCTTCTTCTTCCTCTTCTTCTTCTTCTTCTTCTTCTTCGCATTAACTAACAGAAATTTCTGGTTGTTTTTCCACTTCTGGACTTTGGCCTTATTCCAAAACTTGAATTTTGCATGCACGTACATTTTCATATCTGGCTTATGTACACGATTATGTATTGCTAAGGACTAATTCTCGGGGCTGAAATGGCAATACATGACCTAAATCTGATGAAATTGACCCGTTTAAATACTATTAAAACCCTTATTACATGCGTTTTGGTGTAGTTAGATGTGTCCATCGTTATCGTGTTGCTCTGTTTACCATAGAAGCCTTGCTACTCCCTCTGAGACCAGACAGGTAGAACACCTTGTACGGAGGAAAAGAACAGCTTGTGAAAACATGTAAATTCCACTACATGGCATTGGGCCAAAGCTCATGCGCCGCTGGATCAATAACAACAACCATAGAAGCGTGGTTGGTGAACTGTATTTTTTGCCCTGAAATATATTTCTGGTTTTGCTTTAGTCTGCTTTTTTTTTTTTTCAAAACAAAATAGCAAGAAAATGTGTTAATTAAAGTTGATGAAGAATTAATGGAGTTTCTTTCAAGGAGTAATAGTAAGGATCACTTTGAAATGTATGAGTTATGAGTTGGATTATCTTCATGGCATGCTGGCAGACATGTGTAAATCTGGCCGTGAACAAGACCATCTTACCCAGCCATATACATTGACTAGATTGAAATGTATTCCCAGTGATCAAGAAAAGGTTCTGAAGCTACAGGAGGTCGCGTGTACTGACATGATGAATAACATTATTATTTCTTGTGAACTGTACAACAGACAGGAATGTGTCTCTCTATCACAGTGTACAATACTGGTCCTATTTTTAGTTCTCATTTTCATATGAGGGAGCCAGCCTGGTCTAGTGACTAGCTGCTCACCTGCGGATCAGATAGGTCGTGGGTTTGGTTCCTGGTGAGGGTCCAATTTTTTTTTCAGAAATGACCTTGGCTCTCCGGTCGACCTAGCCTTGAGTGGGTACCAGGTACAGTCCTGGGAAGTAAAAGTGACCGGTGTGGTGCTGACCACATCACCCACCAAGTGCCATTTGTTCTTTTAAAAAAAAGGTTTAGCTCTATTTAACCAATATGCCTGAAAGGTGTGGCAAATGTTCCTTGACTTTACTTTATTTTCATATGAATTTTTGGTTTAGTTGGTATCATGTCTGCCTTACAATTGAAAGGCCATGCATTTAACCCCTACATGACATTATTTTGTCAATGTATATTTTAAATTTCAGCTCTTAGCACTTTCAATAATAAATCACAGAATTATTAATTATTTTATAAAAAAAATTAATGAAGTAATAAAACGGGAAATATAATTAATTACCATTAAAGCAGTAGATTTATGGATCAGATTTGGGGGTTGGGGGGGGGATGGGGAGGGGTTGTCATTAGTGGGAATCGTAATTCACGACTTATGGCCCGGGGTAAAGTGCTAGGATTCTACTAGACCAGCCCCCCACCCCACACACACTGGTGGGGGTCAGGGGGCTGTAGATTTGCTGTTCAAGTTTATGGGGCAGTGGAATGGGTCAGGGGACAGTAAGAGCCTCAGATGCACACGGGGTAATGACTAAACACATGACAATGGTTGAAACAACAAAGAAGTAGATACAGGTAGAATTTTAAAAAAATGTCTTGCAATATCCACCTGCAATGAATCTAAAGCTGTTGAAACATTCAAAGAATGATCCTGCTGGCAGTCGGAAGGCTGCTGTTGTGTAGCTCCACCGTGGAGTTTCTACTACATATATGGAAGGGGTGGATACAAAGAAAAAGTAGACTTAACAGAGGGTTTTCTTTCGCTATCTCTGGTGAAGCCGGGCAATTAAACCTAGTTTATAGTGTTTCCTTTCTGTAAAGGCAAGGTTTATTGGCCTTGCCAAAGTGCCTCTGACCTGTCAACACTCGAGCCAACCACCCACTTTCCCAGGATGAAAATGTTTGGGTGTACAGAATAATACCCGCACTGCCGACGAATCTTTTGCATTTGGGGGATAGAAAAGTATTCAGCACATGAGAAAGGATCAGCGGAGAACTAGATAGCACAGTGGTAACTGGCTGGCGGAGGGCGTAGCAGTGAAAGGGTTAAGGAAAGCAAGTGAAAGTTTTGCTACGTACACTGAGTGTTTAAAGATGTCCCAATGGAGAAAGACGTCGTACGACTCAAGGTGTCCCAAGGATAGTGACCAACTTTACCAAAGAACTTCAGTAAATGACTTAC